TAAATAAAAGAAATAAAGAAGAAAGAGTACATGAAGTTATTAGAAAAAAGTGATGGGGAGATATGGGAGGAGTTGGAGGGGAGGGAATGGGCATGCATTTGCTCAAAACACCTTATATGCTTATATGCCTACATGAAAGTCTCAATAAATTATTGAAAAAAAAAAAAAGAACACTGGCTGTTCTGGAAGAGGACCCGGGTTTGGTTCTCAGTACCCACATGGTGGCTAACAACCATCCATAACTCCAGTTCCAGATCTGACACCCTCTTCTGACCTCTGTGGGCATTGCATGACATAGCTGCACTTAAATACTCATACACATAAAAAATTAAAAATTTTTTTTACATTTTACAACCTGCTTTTTTTAACTTTAAAAAAACTTTATTGAGAATTTCATACATAAATATAAAATGTTTTGATCAAATCCACGCCCACTCCCTCCCCTCCAAAACCTCCCTAAATATTTTTTTTTTAAACTGCGTACAATATGAAATGGGACATTTATATTATAATCCCCTCTGCCCGAGGCTTAGGGGTCTTTGAGGAAAAGATGCAGAAAGACTGTAAGAGCCAGAGGTGATGGATGACAACAAAGAGACAGTGGTTACCAGACAGCAGGGCAGTTGTACATTTTAGCTCACAGTAATTGTGACAGCATGCAGAAGACCTGTTCAAGCTCAAGCCAGACAACATCCCATCATGGAGGGAGGAGGCAGGCATGAAGTCCCAGCCCTAGCTAAGAAGCTACTGGCATTTGATAGCTACTAGGAGAGGAGCAGTTAGTCTTCCTTACAAGTGTGATACCTGGTAGGTCTATCATGTTCGAAGGAAGGTTTCACACTCAAGAGTATTTGGGCAATACAAAGTGGACACGCAGGAGAATAGACTGGAGTGAATCTAGGAAGAGTTGGGGGAGGGGAAAATACGATCAAAATACACTGTATGAAACTCTCAAAGAAAAAACTTTGTGGATGTAGGTCAGCTTGTAGAGTGCCTGCCAAAAAATGTACCAATCCCAACCCCAGTAATCCAAGTATGATGAGTCACACCTGTAATCCTAGCCCTTGAGAGGTCATGACAGGACAATCAGAAGTGAAAGGTCACTTTCACTATGCAAGTTTGTGGCACACCTAGGATACATGACAGCCTTTCTAAAAGTTAAATTAAATCAGAAACTGTATAAAAGACAAAATTACACTTTTCATATTATTAACAAAAAATTATGCAGCATGTATTTAATTCCTCAAATCTAAATATGAGTAATTAAATGATCCACCTACTCTTTGTAAGTTCTTGTTTCAGGGTCTTCTGTCATGACATCATGAAGTCCTTCCACTGAGATATTTATAATTCCACAGAATTTATCTTGGATAACACTAGAATTAAAAAAAAAAAAAAAAAGCACACACAAGCAAACAAACAAAAAAAAACCAAGTTAACCAAGAGTATTTTAACAGGCATCTTTTAAAAAAACCAAATAATATCTTGAACATGAAATTTTAGTTCTGAAACAGAAAAGCTTTTAAAATATATTTAAGGTGAAAATTTTACCACTGCACATCACATGAGAAATTTCTCTTTCACAAGATTATTACTGTTTAAATGTAGATAAGTACACAAGATCAAAGAGATATTAATGAGCCAAGGAGATGGCTCAGTAGGTAAGCCTGCTTGCTGTACAAGCATGAGGGCCTGAATGTGAATTCCCAGAACCCTTATAAAAAGCCATGTGATGGGGCTGGAGAGATGGCTCAGCAGTTAACAGCACTGGCTGCTCTTGCAGAAGACCCAGGTTAGATTCCCAGCAACCACATGACAGCTAACAACCATCCATAACTTCAGTTCCAGAGAATCCAACACCTTCTTCTGACCTCTGCAGACACTGAATGACCCAGATGCACTTACATACATGCAAGCAATATTCATACACATAAAATAAAAATAAGCATTGCATGACACGAGTGCACTTACCTACACGCAGGCAATACACAATATACATAAAATAAAAATAATAAATACATTTATTTTTTGGTCTTTTTGAGACAGGGTCTCCCTGTAGCCCCAGCTGTCCTGGAACTCACTATGTTGACCAGGCTGGCCTTGAACCCACAGAGATCCACCTGCCTCTGCCGCCTGAGTGCTGGGATTAAAGGCATGCACCACCACGCCCGGCATTAAATAAAAAAAAAATTTAAATTAAATTAAATATTGTTTTTAAAAGTCATGTGTGGTTATGCATGCATTTGGGGTTTTGTTTTTGTGGGTTTTGTTTTACATTGGTTTTTTGAGGCAGGGTTTCTCTGTAGCCCCAGCTGACCTGGAACTCACTATGTAGACCAGGCTGGCTTTGAACTCACAAAGATCTGCCTGCCTCTGCCTCCCAAATGCACTTTGGTAGGGGCAGGCTTGGAGAGTTCACTCTAAGTTTCCATTTCCAGTTTCATTCTATTTTCTGTGCGTCCTTGAAGATAGGCTCCAGCTGCCTGGTGCCATGCCTCCCCACCATGATGGATGCTGATCCCTCTGGAACTGTAGGCCCAATAAATCCTTCCTTCTGTAAGTTACCTTAGTTATGGTGTTTTATCACAGGCACAGACAAGTAACTAATACATATACAGTAAATGTTCTTGTTCTCTCTCTCTCTCTCTCTCTCTCTCTCTCTCAATGTTTTACCATTTTTTAAATTTTTATTGAAATATTTTTGTATTTCATACAGAACATCTCGAACTATCTTGATCATCTTTCTACCCCTGGCCCTAACTGGAATCCTCCCATAGCACCCTCCACTGGAGTCCATATACTCTGTCATCCCTGTTAAGGCCCACTGTGTTGTCAGTGTCCCCAGCCGTTCCCCAGAGCAAGTCCATCCACTGAGTCTAGTCAGCCTATCTAGTATCTAGAGTCCCTTATTTTAGGAAGATCAGCTCTTCTTCATCTAGTCGCAAACATTACTTCAGATAAGATTGGGGTCTGCCATTCATTTTCCCAGTTCTATGCAGGGTTATTGTCTGGCTAAGTGTGTATGGGACTTGTGTATGCTGACACCATTGCCACAGAATCATATGAGCAGGTTCCCAGGAGCTTGTAGGACTCTGATTCCATATGGTCATGCACCTCCTCCTTGGCTCTTACAATCTTTCTGGCCCCTCTTCTGCAATGGTCCCTGAGCCTTGGGTGGATGAAGTTTAATAAAGGGGTCCTGTCTAAGGACCATTATTCAGTAGACTCTTGATCTCTACACTTTGGCTATTTGTGACCTTTTGAAGTTCCTGGTGCCTAAGGGAACTTCATTACTGGGAACCGAGAGATTCGTTAGTGTCCTCTTCATTATACCTATTCTATGTTCCATGAGCCTTAGGTGTAGAGGTTGCATTATAGATGTGTCCCTTAGGCCTGGGCAATTCTATAATTTTTATAATAGTCTTGCATTAACTTTATAATAATGACACACAAAGTACTGACAAAAATCTCTGCTTTTCTGAAGACACACACCTTAATCCCCGCACTCAGGAGGCAGAGGCAGGCAGATCTCTGTGAGATCAAGACCCACCTGGTTTACACAGTGAGTTCCAGGCCAGCTGGTGCTACAGGGAGACCCCCATCTCAAAAATTCAGTAAAGGACTTTAATCTAGCATATAAAGAATTCAGAAGAAGCAGTAGGAAGTCAACAACTTCATTTTGAAATAGGCAACACTTTGGAAAACTGAAAAGATACTTCACCAAAGAAAATATTCAGATGCCATGGGAGTACTTGAAAAGATGTTCTCAATAAGTAGGCATTAATTAAGGAAGTACAAATTGAAATCATAGTGAAATTTTAATTAAAAGTAAAATTAAAAAGACTGGTAACATTAGGGCTGGGAATACAGTTACATCAGTAAAGTGCTTGTAAGGCAGTATGAAAGGCCTGAATTTAATTTCCAGAACCCATGTAAAAACACAGGGCATGTTGGCACATGCTTGTAGTCCCAGTGCTGGAGAGTTGGAGACAGGAAGCCAGACAGGGGCTTGCTGATCAGCCAGCTTACAAACATTGGGAGACCCATTCCAATGAGAGATTCTGGCCTTCACATGTCTACATGTACATGTTGACTTGCATATACACATACATGGACATATACACACATAAACACCAAAAAAATATTGTCAATACTGTGTGATGGCAAAGATAAGAAAAAACAGGAAACCTCACATATTTTTAAAAAGAACTTACAGTGTAAATTTTCACTTTGTAAAAGATTGGGGGGGCGGGGGTAAGGGGATACAGTGTCTCACTATACAGCTTTGAACTGGATTGGAACTCATTGTGTGCCCCAGGCTAGCCTCAGACTCACAGAGATCTGCATGCCTCTGCCTCTGCCTCCTGAGTACTGGGATCAAAGGCATGTGCCACCACACCCAGCCAAGATGCCTTTTTAAAAAAAATAAAGTTAAGCATTCCCAGGTATTTACCTAAGACCCAAACAAAAGTTCTATGATCTGTACGAATATGTATAGTAGCTTTATTTATAATAGCCCCAAACTCCTTAACAACCCACAAATGTCCACCAAATTAGTCAATGAATAAATGCAGAAGACATACTCAGACCCATGAAATTTATTCAATACAATATGCTCAGCAATGAATAGGAACTACCCAAGCAACAACATGAGTACACCTCCAAAGTGTTCTACTGAGAGAAATAAGCCAGACTCAAATGGTCACCTATCACAGGACTCTATGTGACATGGAAAGGAAGGCTATTTCATCAATGGTCTTCCAGCAAGGAACACAAGGCAACAGTTTGGGATTATACCTGCTCTCTATCATGAGCAGGGCACTAGTTCCACAGCAGTATACATTTGTCAAAAATGTGTACTTTTGCTGTATATAAATCATAACTTAATCTACCTGACTTTTCAAAAAAGTAAAAGCAAACAGCTACCCACCAGCAAACTAAAGTGCACTATATGAATGTAAAACCAGCTGAATAAATTGTAACTTCTGCCTCCAGGAAACGTATACCATCATTCCTGCAAGGAACATGACTCTGTCCTCATACATCATTAACATGCTAATTAACTTTTTAAATGTTCAGTAAAGTAGTTCCTAAGGCCAGCAGTCTCCCTTTGTAAAGTCAGAACCTTATATCCATCCATTCAAATATGATGTGTTCTGTAAAACTAAATCACCAAAGGCACTAACTACTAATTAGCAGGTCCCATTCTGATCCATTCTTGTTTGATTTTAACACCTTCATGAGGACATATTTTATGTCACTGTAATTCCTTTACATGAGAACTAAAAAAATCTTTTAAAAAATTTATCGTGTTTCTAAAAATTTCATGTGTCTGAGTGTTCTGCCTGCATATATGTACGTGCACTCATGTTGTGCAATGCCCACAGCAGTCAGAAGAGGGCATCAGACCCCCTTGGAACTAGAGTTAGACAGTTGTTAGCCACCATGTGGGTGTTGGGAATCAAACCCAGGTCCTCTGCAAGAGCACTCTGCAAGAGCAGCTAGTGCTCTTAACTGCCGAGCCATCGCTCCCAGCCCCCTAAAAGAATATCATTAAAAATGTTCAGTCTATAGCCTATTTAGTCCAGTGAGATATATGTTAGAAAAAATAAGATTTTCACTAGAAGTATAACTACAAATGGTGTGATCCTCAGTTCATTTCTTTAGGTCTTGGTCTCCTTGTCTGTAAATGAAGCCTGTATTTGAAGCTGGAGATGGTACTCAACACAGCCATTACTTTACACCAAGAGCAATTCACCATGGAGCCATTGTGGATCCCAAGGCAGGCAGGACCTCAAATTCTTTCTGAATATAACACTGACAGCAATTAAACAGACAAAAGCCCTCCAGACTCTCCTTGTGAGGGATTGTGAGGATCTTGCCCAGGCATTTATCTCAAGGTTATTTAGGAAGAATGCAGTCAGTAACTAACTACCTTCTCTACGCACCTCAGCTCCAAGCATTAATCTCACTAAAATTTTGCAAGGAATCCATGAAACTGCTGAGTGTGAAATACTTTCTCAAACTATTAATTATGAATTTTTCTAACATATTTGGCAACCAAATGTGACTATACTGTATTATGTAGCGAGATGGTCAATTACAAAGCTGGTCTTTAGAGAGGCAAAACCATGCTCACTCTGGAGTATCTATCTATGAAGTGCAAAAAGGAGGAGCCAGATTTCAAGTTCAGAACAAGGAGATTGACTATGGCCCAAGGCTGAAAGGAAAAAAGGAATGCAAGCTGGTTTGGAGTGGGGAGAGGTGACTCTAGGGAGGAAGAACTGAAGAAAGAGAATAAAAAGGAAATATTCACGCCATATTCTGAAATCAGTAAAAAAGACAAGATAGAATATTATCTCCAAAGCACTCAAGT